CAGCTCAGTGAGCGTGCCGCGTATGAAATCACAAAAAGCATGATACCGCTATAGCATTTTACTTGGAAGAGGCCATCTGTATTCCGTGTAGACGACATTGCCAGTTAATGGGGGGGGGGGGGGGGATTCGGCATCTCATTAGCTTTTTGATCATATGGACAGTGGATGACATGACATAATTTTTTTACACCGTTCGCTCGGATTCATTAAAGGGACGGGTGGCTATCAAAGCATACAAAAGCGCAGCGTACAATCCTCAAAACATACAAAATCGCAACATACAACGCGCAAAACCTACAAAACAGGCCAGGTAGGGGACAGCTCAAACGTACAAAAGCGCAGCGTACAAAATCCCAACGTACAAAAGTTTACCGTCCAATGGGTAAAGCGTACAATGGCAAATCAAACAATGATCAGAACGTACAAAATTGGAACGTACAATGGCAGATCAAACAAACGCGTATCATACAAAATTGCAACCTACAAAACGAGATGATCATATCATACAAAATCGCATCGTCTAAAATCGGAAGGTACAAAATGCCTCTGGTTGACGCCGGGTGAATTGATATTTAACAAGTCAGCCACCAGATGGGGTAATGGTGCTGTGGCAGTGGTTTTTTGGAAGCCACCAGGAAATAGAGTGGAATGCCACTAAGTCCCTAAGAAACACGATACCTCTGGACGCTGCACCGGCCGGCTATCGACGCTGCGGGCGGTCGGAGGGTGCCGAGGGGAATGGTTCCAAGCAGGCGGGAACACGATACCTCTGAACGCTGCAGCGGCCGACTATCGACGCTGCGGGTGCCGCGTGGACCGGTGCCGAGCAGGCGACGAGGAGAAGCGGGCATCGAGACCGTGAGAAATCTATTATATTGGCGGGTGTGCATATGTAGGTAAATGAGGCAAACGTGCATAGGTATGTAACACCTTCATCCTTGATCACATACCCCTACCCACGCACTGCGGGGGGGACTGTTTGAACAACCCCTCCGGTTTCTCGCGAATATCTAAAAAACGGCGGCTCAGAGTGGCGCCGTGTTTTGCACATCTTATCATACATCTTTTCTACACCTTCTGTGAAAACTTCAGACCAAAGTCATCCAAGGTCAGGTCACCATATCACGTCAAGTGACCTTACTACATGAAAAATTTCAATGCCTGTCACAGCTACACTGAGTGACTGATCACTTAGAAACTTTGAGCAACTGATAAAACAACAGTATACACAATACACATAATGTATACAATAATTATAATAATGATACACAAAATGTATCTCTCGGAACCTCGATATCGGTGACCTAAGGTCAGTTCAATTTTGCGACCTCTCCATCATAAGTCAATGGGAGAAAATTGAAAGGCGCCTCTTTTGGCCGAACGTCATTCTAATCACTTTCAAACATCGAATTACAAGTAGGGGAAGTTGGGGCAATGCCGGAGTTGGGGCAAAGCCGAAATTCGAGATATTTCTAAAACCGTACGACATGGATGCCACGTCTCAGTGATGCTCTGAAGCTTAAGTGACTACAATTATCGCATGTTTGTTACGAGTCGTCATTTGGAATACTTCGGCTGTGAGGGCGCCAAAAGCGTTTTCAAGGTACGTTTCCCTTGTACTACATGCGCCTTTGAAGCTGCATTTCTTACTCATTATGCTACCGTTTGTCTGGCCAATTCGGTCAAGTAATCTTCAGCATGTCTTTGCATAAGTGTGCTGCCTATTTGAAATTTATACAGCACGTTTAAAAGTTATGGACCTGCAAATGAAAGTATGGCTGGCTGGGGTAATGCCGAAAACGTGCAATTACGCACGTTAAAGCACGCTACGTGCAGACTTTACTGCTGTAGAATAGCAACGCGTATTTTTAGTCAAACAAATTACACTTTCAGCCGGCACAACGGCCTGTTACCTATAAGGAATGATTTACCTGGCATTTTCTTATTATATCACACAATTATAACTTCCACTGTGCACCAAGCGTCCTCAAGCTCTTAAAACGCGTGTCAGCTTTGATGAATTTTGGATAAAGTTTGAGATAAATTGGCAAAACATCAATGTCGGCATTCCTCGTAGATCATTTATCCCATTTTCGGCTTTCCCCTTAGTCCGGGGCAACGCCGAAAAAGTCAGTTCTTTGATATTTTTAGTTTTTGCGCTTAACGGTATGCGAATTCATCAAGTGCGCCTGGTATGTTTGAAAGACAAAAGACTGGCCTCTCGAATGACGCCAACAAGAATAGCTTATGTTGTCTACCTTGCGTGCTACGGGCGTCAGAAAAAAAGTATTCGGCGTTCCCCCAACTTCCCCTAGACATGACAAACTGAACCGGAAAATGGTACCCGTGACCCCTCTTTATGTCCCTGAGGTCATCTAAGGTCACGAATGGTATCCTATACAGTTTTTCGCAACTAATAACTTTTTTTGACAGAGACATGCTAGAGCGATGAAAAAACCTTATATGTATGTGTTTGGCTCAATACGGATCGACTGATGCAGCATGACCTTTTCTGGTCAGGTCATGACATTGACCTGAGTTCATGACCTTGTCATGAGGTCATGACCTTGACCTAAAGTAAATTTTTCAAGTTGAACTTTTGAGGTCAACTTATAGTTCTTTCGATGCGTCGCCTTGACGAGAGGAACACGATGCTGCTGGGTGTAAGCTCGTGCATGTTTTGAGTCAAAAGGTATTGCAGAAAAACAGTTCCCGCAAAAACCATCTACCTATTCTGGCAGTTTTTGGCCCCTGCATGCTAAACCGTTCCTAACCTATGCGCCGGTTTGTCGAAATTATCGAAGTTTGACCTGGAAAGTGGCGAAATTTTACCTTTGGTGACCTCTGTTGACCTGACCTTTGAGCTGACCTAAAATGTGGCCGATATAATTTCTTCATTACTTCTGCCGCTCTTTCGAACGCCGTCTACGGCGTGTCGCTACGTGGCCCAGGAGCCGAGTGAGAAAGGGGGTGTTCAAACACCCCCCCCCCCCAGTGCAGCTGGCGCCGAGCACCGGCCCGGCGTAGTCAATCGCATGGCGTTTAACATAACGGACATAACGGTACATCATCGGTGTTTAACCCGCGCCCTGCTGGGGGGGGGGGGTGTTTGAACACACACACACCCTGTGTTTTTTCACAAATATCTCAAAAACGGCAGCGCGGAGCGCCACCGTTTTTGGCACACCTTATAATGCATTTTGTACATACTATTGCTCTTAGCAATCGTTGAAACTTTCTGTAATAGAATTGTGTTACGAATTAGTAGAACGTAGCGTGCCTTGTGTGTGTATTGTGCGTGTGTGCCTATGACCGTGTTTGTGTGGGCGCGCCGAGTCCGTGGGACCGGCGGGCCGCATTTCCTGCGCCTGCGGCGCTAGTTTTATGGCGCACAGCTGTGTGTGCACTGTGGACCGCCGGCCGGGCTCGGGCGCGCGGCGGCAGTTGGCGCCGCGACACGATGACGTAAGGAATACAGCGTGTGAGAGGTGGCTCGGTTTTCTACAAGCTATTTCGGCTTTGTGTGAGAGACAGAGAGTAAGAGCCATGAAGGACGAGAAAAGTGCGCCTGAGAGTGGAGTGAAGCCGGCGAGTACGGCGGACGCTGCAGCCGATCTCCGACTCATACCTGAGTTCGACGGAGCGACTCAGCCTGTCACAGAGTGGCTGGAGAAGGTGGAGCTGGTGTGCCGTCTACGTGGCATCGACGCGCTGCACGTCGTCGTTCCCCTCCGCCTAACTGGCGGGGCGTTCGCTGTCTATCAGCAGCTGGACGAGCAGGACAAGGCTGGCTACGAGACCATCAAAAATGGCCTGATTTCGGCTTTCGCAGAGGATAAGTTTGACGCCTATGACCGGTTTGAGAAGATGAAGCTCCGTCGAGGTGAGCCGGTGGATGTCTTCGTTGCAGAGCTGCGTCGCCTGTCCGGCCTGTTTGGCGGTATGTCAGACGGCGGCCTAGCCTGCGCGTTCGTGGCAAAACTGCCGGAGACCACCCGCCGTGTGCTTCGTGCAGGAAGCCGCGTCGAAAGCATGACGCTAATCAGCCGGGCCCGAGCTGTGCTCGCCGATGAAGAAGTGACTGCCATGGCAGGAGCGACGGGAGCAGCAGCGCGGACGTCGGCGGCGCCACCCCGCGTGACCTGTCACTCATGCGGACAGCCCAACCACCTGTCGCGGGATTGTCTCGCTGCTCGCGGTCAGCGGGAGCGCGGCGGGGCCCGCGGCGGTCGGCGCAGTGTGCGCTGCTTCCGCTGCAACCGGCCCGGTCATATCGCCTCGTCCTGTCCGGAAAACGACGGCGGAGAGGAGGGCTCGGCGCCAGCCTCCTCTCCCGGTCTCCAGTGAGCGGGGCGCTGCCCGTTGTGCGAGTATCGGTGGACGGCGCCACCTGTGACGCCCTGCTGGACACGGGATGCAGCTTGTGTGTAGCGCACGTGTCGGTGTGTCGAAATTGGAATCGAGACGCAGTGAGCGTGATGACGGTGAGCGGTGACCGATACTGGTGCGAGGGAACGGGTGTCGTGGAGGTGCGATCGCAATCTGGCGAATCGGTATCAGTGCGCGTGCTTGTGGTGTCACGGAAGCCGCTGGGCTTTGAGTTTATCCTGGGGATGAACGGCGTGAGTGCACTGGGTGGCGTGACGGTGAGTGCGGAGAACCATGTGAGGTTCGGAGCTGAAACGACCGGGGTGGCGGCGGTGGCCGAGAGACGGGTGCCCGAGACGGCGCCGGCGGCAGCAGGGTCGGCGGCGGTGGCCGAGAGACGGGCGCCCGAGACGGCGCCGGCGGCAGCAGGAACGGCGGCGGTGGCCGAGAGACGGGCGCCCGATACGGCGCCGGCGGCAGCTGGGACGGCGGCGGTGGCTGAGAGACGGGTGCCTGAGGCGGCGCCCGTGGCAGCTGAGACGGCGGCACTGGCCGAGTCGACTGCACCCACCGAGGCGGCGGAATCTGGGTCAGCGGCAATTGGGGCCCTGACAGTGACCGAGACGCGGGCAATGGCGGCGCCGGAGGCGGCGGCGGGTATATGGCGCGAGGAGGAGAAGGACTTTATTGTGAGCTACGATGAGAGCCAGAAAAAGTGGTCTGTGCAATTGAAATGGTGTGGGGATGAGCCAGGACAGTTGTTCAACAAAGCGGAGGAGTACTCAATACCATCAGAGGCCAGGCAGGAGTATGAGCGACAGCTCACAAAGTGGGTGACAAACGGATGGCTTGTTCCCTATGACGAGCGTGTCCACGGACAGGCAAAGGGCACAATACCGCTGATGGCGGTGATTCAGCCGAACAAAGACAAAGTGCGCCCGGTCATGGACTTCAGAGAGCTGAATGAGTATTTGGACTCGCATACGGCTGCCGCAGACGTGTGTAGCGAGAAAATTCGCGAGTGGCGCCGGTTCGGACGGAACGTGTCGCTTCTGGATCTCAAAGACGCCTACCTGCAGGTGCATGTGAGCGAGTCTCTGTGGCCCTACCAGACTGTTGTGTTTCAGGGCAAAAGGTGGTGTCTGACGAGACTAGGGTTTGGAATCGGCTGTGCGCCGCTGGTGATGAAAAAAGTGCTCAGCATGGCTCTCGGGCTGGACCAGAGAATAGACAGCGCGACATCCTCCTACGTCGATGACATATTTGTGAATGAGGAGGTCGCCACCGCAGCTGAAGTGAAGGCCCATCTCGAGAACCATGGCTTGGACTGCAAAGCGCCAGAAAGTGTGATCGATGGTGCCCGTGTGCTTGGCCTAAGGGTCTGGGGGGAGCGAGACGGGCTGTTCTGGAGGCGTGACAGAACCGACATCAGCCCGCCCCCTAAACTGACGAGACGGGCAGTCTTCTCTCTGTGCGGACGACTCACCAGTCTTGTTCCTGTGGCCGGCTGGCTCCGCGTGGCCGCGTCATATCTGAAGAGGCGTGTCACCGCTGTGTCCAGTGGATGGGATGACGAGGTCACTGACCCGGAGCTCTGTGCAATGGTCATTGAGATGGTGGAGCGTGTGAACACATCTGACCCCGCGCGGGGCCGGTGGGATGTCTCTGGAGACGGCGGAGGTGTGGTGTGGGTCGATGCCAGCTCCCTCGCCATCGGGGCCGTGCTGGAGATCAACGACTGCGTCGTTGAAGACGCCTGCTGGCTGCGGAAGAGCTCGGACACCCACATCAATCTCGCAGAGCTAGATGCTGTGATTCGAGGGCTCAATCTGGCACTGTCCTGGAATTTGAAGAATGTGACGATCATGACCGACTCGCGAACCGTCTATCACTGGCTGTCCGACGTCCTGTCTGGCAGAGCCCGTGTAAAAACCAAGGCAGCGAGCGAGATGCTAATTCGGAGACGTCTTGAGACAGTGAAGAAGCTGGGTGAAGAATATGCCATGCAACTCTGCGTGAAATTCGTCCCATCGGCTGAGAACCGGGCCGACGCGCTCACGAGAGTGCCAAAAAAGTGGCTGACCCCGCAGGGCGCGTCGATGGTGTGCGGTGCCGTCGTCACAGAGCCCGACATCGCACGGATTCACCACACCAGCGGCCATCCTGGCATCACACGAACCCTGAGACTATGCAGGAGGCAGAGCTCTGACGTCACCAGAGCTCAGGTGCGTGCCGTGATCCGCCAGTGTCAGGCGTGCCAATCGGTCGACCCTGCGCCGCAGCGCTGGGTGCGCGGCACGCTAGGGGTGAACGAGTGCTGGGAAAGAGTGAGCATGGACGTCTGCCACGCCGACAATCAACTCTACCTGACCCTAGTGGATTGTGGGCCGTCTCGCTACGCGATCTGGAGGCGCCTAAAGCGACAGGACGCTGAGAGTGTCATCGCGCAGCTCGAGTCAATCTTCCTGGAGCGAGGCGCTCCCACTGAGCTGCTGACGGATAACTATCCATCGTTTCGAAGTGCCGTGTTCAATGAGTTCGTCAGTCGGTGGGGAGTCTCCGTTCGATACCGAGCGGCTCATGTCCCGTCCGGTAACGGCATCTCGGAGCGCAACCACCGCTCCATCAAAACGTTAGCGGCCAGAAAGAAGTGTTCAGTGGTGGAGGCGGTGTATCGCTATAACGTGATGCCACGCGCGGAGGATCAGAGCTCCAGCCCCATGGAAACGCTGTTTAATTACCGAGTGAAAGTCCCAGATGTAGACACGCCAGCTGATGCCGATATCAGCCGCTTTACGGTCGGGGACAAGGTTTGGGTCAGGGACCCGAGCCGCCGCTGTGACGTGGCCAGTTCACTTGGGACGGTGAGCCGTATTGTGTCTGTACAGTGTGTTGAGGTGGATGGAGTGCCGCGCCATGTGCGGGACCTGAGGCTGGCCGTTCTCCCACAGCCGGCCGAGGGCAGGAGTCCGCCGATCAGTGAGAGTGACGACGAGGGCGCCCCAATTATCTTTTATGAGCAGCGTGTCACTCCCGACGCTGCGGCTCGAGGCGAGTCGGAGGGGGCCTCGCACGATGGCGAGGAGTCGGCAGCTGCTCGCAGGAGCACGCGGGAGCGGCGTCCCGCTACACTGACGCAGTATGGTGATTTATAAATCAGGGGGGAGTGTAATAGAATTGTGTTACGAATTAGTAGAACGTAGCGTGCCTTGTGTGTGTATTGTGCGTGTGTGCCTATGACCGTGTTTGTGTGGGCGCGCCGAGGCCGTGGGACCGGCGGGCCGCATTTCCTGCGCCTGCGGCGCTAGTTTTATGGCGCACAGCTGTGTGTGCACTGTGGACCGCCGGCCGGGCTCGGGCGCGCGGCGGCAGTTGGCGCCGCGACACGATGACGTAAGGAATACAGCGTGTGAGAGGTGGCACGGTTTTCTACACTTTCGAAGCGATCGGTCACTTGGTGTAGCTATGGCGGACATTGAAACTTTGCATGAGGTGAGGTCACTTCAAGTGACCTGGTGACCTGACCTTAAATGACCTTGGTCTGAAATTTTTAAAACATGTGTAGAATTGATGTATTATAAGGTGTGCCAAAAACGGTGGCGCTCCGCGCTGTAAACTATACTGAGATGAACTCTGCATATCTCAGAGTTTTGATATCGATGACCAAAGGTCAGGTCAATTTTGCGACCTCCCCATTATAAGTCAATGGGAGAAAATTGAAAGACGCCTCTTTTGGACCAAAGCCATCATAAACACTCCCAAACACTGAATTACAAGAAACTACTACGCATTTCAGACCCTCTGGAACAGTCCTTTTTGGCCCTTTCTCGTTACCTATACGCTTGATTTCAACCAAACTTTGACACAATGTGTTTCAAGGACCTACCTAATTTTTACTAATGTGGTCTTTTAACAAAATGTCAAAATGAAAGGCACTTGTCGTTGACTTGTAATGGTAAAAATTGATCGGAAAACACTGCACCGTGGTAGAGGCTAGCATGGCGTTGCAGCGTCAGCTGTTGCGCCGCAGCTAAGCTCCGCCCACTGTGCCGCGACACCGGGACCGGTCATTCGCCGCTCGGGGTCAGAGCGGTGCGGAGCTCTGACGGACTGGAACGAGACACACGCTAACGCAGGCATCATTGCGTGAATATTGTAAATGTCGTATCTCGCGCGGAGAGAATAAGGATGAAGAATTCAATGCAGATCGCGACGGTGTATGTATAAAACAATAAGCACTCCTAGCTACATAATGTTATTCCCTATGCAGACTTAAAATATTTTCAATAATTTATAGCGAGCCTCTCCGCAGCCGTTTTCCTACAGGCTATTGTGCATTTAAGGAGTAACGGGACAGAATTCACCGGACTGTCTTTGCATTCAACGGCCTTATTTAATTGAAGATATCCACATAGATACTTGTAGGTATTTCGTTTTTTTTTTTGTTTAAAAGAATAATTTTTTTTTTGGAGGGGGTGAAAATAATAGGTAAATCTTTCTATGACATTTCCACAATGCTTTCAGAATGTTGTTGATAGATCTTAGGCCCGAAAAACAATAAAACAGGGAAAAATATAGGATGACTCAATCTGAAAATGTAGATATGCAATATCGAGAGTTCATGATCTCCCGTCCTTCACTCCCCCTTGTCAGTCTCTCGTCTATACGTTTATAGTATATTGTCTCTCGTCTATAGCCTAATCTCTATCTTCGTCACTTGTCTCTGGTCTATCGTCTTCGTCTCCTGTCTCTGCTCTAGCGGCTATATGCATATTGCTTGTTGTCCACTAGCCAACGTTTACCGTTCGTCTCATTGTCACTTTGTCTCCTTTTCCTTTCTCTTTCTTCCTCCGTCCTTATTTGTCGTAGAACAACTTATTAAAAGTTCATGACATGCAAACAAGTGCTCCACTCCGCTGCGCTGCGTGCGCGGCCCGCACGCCGGCCGGCCCAAGGCCGGCCGGACTGCGACTGCCGCCGACATGACCCGAGGCTGGACCGCAAGTGGGCGGAGCCAAGCCGCAGTGTGCTAGTGCGTCTCGACCAATCAGAGGGGAGACAGCGTCCAGCCTGTGTCAGCCTCTAAGCAGGGCTCTGACGACCTTAACATTCTCAGTCAATGACAAGTGCCTTTATTTTTCATTTTTCGTTAATAGACCATATTGATAAAAATTAGGTAGGGATCTCAAACTACCAATGCCAAAGTTTGGTTAAAATCAAACGCATATACAACGAGAAATAGCCGAAAAGGACTGTTCCACAGGGTCTGAAACGCATAGTAAGACACATTGAACATGAAAATAGTATCCGAGACCCCTGTTTATGCCCCTGAGGTCATCTCAGGTCACGAATAGTATCTAACAGTTTTTCGCGAATACCTTTTGATAGAGGCATGCTAGAGCGATGAAAACGCCTTGGATGTGTTCAGCTCGACGATACGGATCGACTGATATGCAGCATGACCCTTTCCGGTCAGGTCATGTTGGTAAAAGTAAGCTCGTGCAAAGCTTGAGTCAAAAGTTATTGCAGAAAAACTTTCCAAAAAATCGGTTATTTTGGCAGTTTTTGCCCCCTGCAGGCAAAACCGTTGGCGCTAGGTCAAATATGAGAGAATTATTCAGAAAGGGCGTTAATAGGGCTATCGAAGTCGCTTTTCCGCGGCGCTGTAGCTATATCGGTTCCCGAGTTATGCGTTGGCTTCTTGGAAACTGTCGACATTTGACCTGAAAATCGGCGAAATTTTGCCTTTGACCACTGGTGACCTGACCTTTAGCCTAACCAAAAAAGTGACCGAAGTGATTTCGTTATTATTTTGGCGCTCTTTCGAACGCCGCCTTCCGCGAATCGCTACGTGGCCCAGCATAGGGGCGGGAGCCGGGGGGGGGGGCAGTGGGGGCAGCTTGCCCCCCCCAACTCTGGGGCCGTGGGGGCGGTGCCCCCACAGCTTTGAGACAGAATACCACACTTTGTTTGCAAATGTTTTCTTTTTTTGTTAAAAAGGCCGAGGGTGAAAAATAAGTGGCCTAAAACCGGTGAGAAAACTAGATTTGGGGGTACCCTAGGTTAATCTCTATTATGGTGTGCCCCCCAGTCGGAAAGTAGTTCCCGCGCCCCTGTGGCCCAGGAGTCGAGTTAGAAGTTAGTGTTCAACCCCCCCCCCCCCCAGCAGGGCGTGGAAATCCAGGACCCCCAGCGGGGCGCGGGTTAAAACACATTTGGAAAATATAAATATCTTCAATACAATGTGCGCTAACCAGTTTTCTCAGTAATTTAGCTAGCAAATATCGTGCTGTGTTGTTTACATCGAGGGTCGAACTTAACCCGCGCCGTGCTGGTGGCCTAAGTTTTCCGTGTCATGCTGGGGGGAGGCGTTTTCACGTCCCCGTCTAACTCGGCTCCTGGGTCAAAGGTCACGTCACCAGAGGTCATCAAAGGTAAAATGTTGCCTATTTCAACATTTTCACAAACACTCAACGCATAACTCGGGAACCAATAGAGCTACAGCGCCACAGAAAAGCGCATTCAACAGCTCTTTCAAAGGCCTTTCCGAGTGTTGTTGTTAGATTTGACCTCAGGTCAAATATAAATCGTGACGTTAGTAACAACGCACGATACGTTAGACGCTGGCAAAACACCAATACGGGCGAGGGTTAAATCATATGTGAACCAACCAGTTTTTGAGTGGTTAACCTAGCAAACATTGTAAATGTGTTCAACAGGATGTTAACAGTGAGGGTTGAACTTGAAAAAGACGATGGGATTGCACGATGGGACCGCGGCCGGAATTAGCGCGACATTGGTGGATTTGCCGCCCTTTCCCAAATTGAGTTAGACTGTTCCACGTAGTTCAGAAATGTCCAATTCCATGGACCACGAATCTGCAAATATTTTCGTCCATGGTGTATAGCGCCGGCGCCACATCAGCCCAAATACAAAGTTCTGTGACAAGCATCGTAGACCCGTTTTCGTACGGAGAAAAGTAGCAGCTAATGTAGGTAAGAAAAAATGTATATTAGACGGCTTTATCAATATTTTCGGGGTCTCTAACCTTTAGACCATGAAACAAGAAATGTTTAGACCATGGGCTTCACGATGGAAAGAAAAACTTATAACGGAATATATAAATACGCTTCAAATGTTAAGTTTGTAGGTACTTTTAAAATTGTGAGTTAATTTTACTGTTATAAACATTCTAGAATGCCGATATGAAACGTCCCGCTAGGTCGCGCTCTTCTTTTATCAATATGGTCTTTACCGATCAATTGCCTTTCAGAAATTGTATAATTTAGCTGCTTCAGCCTGCTACATCGAAAATGAGGGACATTTTTGTTTTTACTTCAGGTCGCCGGCGCTGGCCGTGCGCGGTTACCACGAGCCGGCCGGAAGCTGGGAGTAACAGATCGACAGATCCTCCTAGGAGTCGAACAAGGCTGCCAAGTGCCAACTATATTTAAGTTTTGTCCGGAAATATCCGTACCTGCTATCGGAGTGTCTGATACACTTTTCTGACCTTCACTTTATTTGTTATATAGTCCATCAGGCTATTATAATCCCATCATGTTTTTGGTGGCTACATTATTTGCTTATGGGAATTTCCGGTTCCGTCATGACTTGACCTAGCAGGTGATGCCATCTTATCACATGACCGAACCGAGTCAAGGTCAACGCAGGTCAACTGATTAATTAATTAATTAATTAATTACTTAAATGACTAATGATTATTTAATTAAATTTATCAGGAATTGCTTCGAAAGTACACCGACTACCATTTGTATGATTCTATCATCCCTTTCATGTGAAAAGCGGGCACGAAACACGAAAAAGTACCGATGTCGCGCTAATTCTCGCTCCGGTCCCATTGTGCATTGTAAGAAATAGTTTTAGTGTCTATGCTACATATTTTGCGACCGATACCCTCTGAGCCCGCTTACGACTCGCTGACGAACTTTTGTAAATACAATTTGAAGGCTCCGACCCGAACGATTTCTTGTGGAGTGAAGCTCTCATTCACTTATTGCATTAACAAACTCCACAGTCCACATCATATCTTTATGTGTAACTAAGCTGTTGGTGGCGATAAACACCCATTTGGATGTCGGCGGTGACGCCTAATGGTTGAGCTGACCTGACCCCACCTACCCAAAATGCACGGATA